TCCATCTCTATTTGTCTATTTATTTATGGAAATAACAAGAGCAGTCATTTTAGTTCTTGATACACTTACAAGTACATAAACACACAGACATACGTATAATGTTTTAAATATGTTGCATTTAGGAGGAGGTGGATTATCTTCTACGGGGTATAATATTTGAACAGTCCTGGTTGTGAGAGGGAAAAGGATCCAGCTGTCCAAGAGCAAATTTTTGAGATACCTTCAGCTCATCTCCTACTCAGAGCACAAAAGCAGTTACTATGTAGGTGGCATACTCAAATGTCTCGCAGGCTAATAGCAATCTCCCCTCGACACAATTAAGCGTAGGAAGCTGTCATGTTTGGGCAACGTCACGCAGCATAACAGGACTGTTGTCTGCCGGGGATGGCAACGCAATAACTGCTCAGACAACATCAAATAGTGAACAGACATGACAATGCAGGAAATACTGTGAGCCAACGCCAATAGATCAACCTGTAGGAAGAGTGCTCAGAAAGGGAAAGATAATCTTTAATGATGTACTGTGGACGTATATGGTTTATTTGTGATTCTTTAAAGCCAGTTCACAAGGTTCTCTTTAAAATTATACCAACATTAATCTCCTTGCTATTACTCAATATAATTTATGATTTTTGAAATGTTGCGTGTTTCTTTCTTAGTGAGTCGTACAAGTTTCATTCGATAAACATAATTTTAGCCATTGTGTTGAATACAGCTAATTTCTGAACGGGTTTGGCGCCATATATAGAATCCATATCAAATTATCAATCTGACGAGGGTTTTTAAAACATAACTCAAACGATTAGGTTAATGTTTATTCTTCTTATTTTTAGTATTTTTTGGAGTTAGACAAAACTATACATACCACCGTCTATTCAATGTTCTTATCTCATATATTTCTTATCTCATATTTAATTATAACGTGTTCATACATCATGTTATTTGAAATCCACATCCTGATTTTTTATAATGGATTCCGAGTAGTGGCGACCATTACTTTCATTCCAATTCCAATAGTTTATAATGATAATCATATACAGTTATTTATTTTGAGTATTATTTCTTGAAAAACTTGATAGATGTTGATGGTTTGTTCAAGATAATTCTCTTCGCGACTATGAATATCTATATCGTCAGTATATGCGCCTCATCATAATTGTTGTGGATTCCGTGAATGGAATCCTGCACAAATAAATAAACAACGCCGGTACTTGTGATAGAAGAATAAGTGTATTAAACGTAAGAATACAGACTTGAAGTAAAGATTAGTAGTCCAGGAATGCGGGTTAGTAGAAAGTATATGTACAAGTCTCTGTAAGTTAAGCCGTAATTCTCTCTCTCTCTCTCTCGACTCTTGTATAACACTCTGAGAACACGCTGTGTCTGTCTCCGTATATCTCAACCTGTCTCCACGTATTTCAGTATTTAATATTCCACCCACGAGGAATATATGTGACACAAGGCCGAGTTTAAAGTGGGTTTCTCCGAGCCCGTAGGCTCGTCCAAAAATATACCCTTTGAACCCGCCTAGACGGGTTCAGGGCTTGTCTACCTTCCCGGACGAAAACTTGCCCTTCGGCAAAGCCTCGCCCGAGTTCCTCTCTGGCAAAACAGAGAGTTCGATAGACGTCGAGACTGTATCTCGACGTATCTCAACAGCAGGTATTCTCTCTCAGTATAAGTATACTTTGGACTAGTCCATCTTATGTAAACAGTGGAGAGCCCCCACAACAATAATTACATTGGCCATAGAAAGGAAGATCACTGTTTTCTGTTTGTAGATTATTTGGGATGTGGTCTGGAATACTTAATGGATCAGTACCTTTCTTTATACGTCTGTTTGTAGGTTCAGAGATTATAGTCTTCGAAAAGATTAAATACACTGAGATACTCATTTCCTCCTTGTCGGACTCCGGATGAAGTTTGAAATATTTCCGTATTAGAGTCCTCACTAGACATGTTTGATTTTGTGGTGTGATACAGTTCCTTCTATGTGTCGATGCATTTATTGATGTCAGAGCAAGGGCATCATGAAAAACGTAGTCCTTATTGATGGGATTAATTCATGTGTTATATATTTTAAATAATATGAGTTTATGGATTTAATCGTTTTGTTTTAAATCTTGGCATTTATGTAGAGAAAGTACTAATTCTTTCGGGAATGGAGATATTGGAAAAATCCGGGGTGCAGGTTTGTATTTTAATAAGATTCGATAACGGCACTCCCGGGAAGTTTCCTTCCAAGTAAGTTAATTCTCTTTTGATAAGTGTGCTGGAGATCAAAATTGTGGTTGGATTTATTTGATTTAATGGAATAACGGGCTCGGAGAACACACGTTAAACCGGCCTTGTGCCACATGCAACCCTCGTGGAGGGTAGCTAAATATACTAGATGGGATCTGTTATTCACATCTTGGCTGTTGTCGAACTCTCTGCTTCCGGGCTGAGGAACCCGGACGAGGCTATGCCGAAGTTCAGAGTCTCGTTCGGGGAGGTAAACAGACCCAATGCCATTTATGCGGGGTCACGGGAATTTTTGACCGAGCCGACGGACTCAGATTGCCCCACATTAAATTCGGACTTGTGCCACATATAATTGCGTGGGGCAGTTTCTATATACACTAGCTGGGATCTGTTATTCACATCTTGGCTGTTGTCGAACTCTCTGCCCTCAGGCTGAGAGTAACCCGGACGAGTCTATGCTGAAGTGCAGAGTCTCGTCTGAAGAGGTAGACAGACCCGAACCCATTTATTGAATTTTTGACCGAGCTGACGGATTCAGATTGCCCCACATTAAATTCGGCCTTGTTCTACATCCTATCTCATGTGGAGGCTCGTAAATATTGTCTAGCTGGCATCAGTTGAGTACGACACAGACGTACGCGAGAGCTACCGACCTTCCAATAGTAGTACTCACTACTGGATTGACTTGCGTCGACCTTGTACATAAGTGTTACCTTTATTCTTATTTTACTGGTTTGTTACAATAAAGCTTTACTCATTTTATCCATCTCTCTTTGTCAAGTATATATTCCCATTGGTATGGAATATAACATTATTTTTATGCATTTGAAAAATTGTGTGTAAGATCCCTTTTTTGTTCATCGGTCTATTTTTAGTTTCTCATTTTCCCAAAATATTGTGAGGGACAGTTCTAGTAATTCATTTTACAAGTAGAATATGATAGCAGTAATCGACTGATACTCGTCGTAGTCGCAGGTAAGAAGTGTAGATCAATGACGTAGTCCAATGGGCGCCGTTATAGACTTAGCTATCAGACTAAGTCTCTTGACTCTCCTACACGTCCGTCGGTATTTATGACGGACACCAGCCAATAACATTCCAGTCAGGGGGAACACAGGTGTATGTATATTACATTATATATATATATATATATATATATATATATATATATATATATATATATATTTATATAGCTTTTATATTTCCTTATTATTAATTATTGTTATGGAAACTTGGTTCTGATCATTATCCATAACAGCTTTGGATGTTGTTTAGATTTGAGAGGTTGTTTTGTATAGTGGATGGTATGGAGATAGTGCGTAGTATTATATATCTGTTTTTTTTTTTGTTTGTTTTTTTTTAACTTTTCACCCCAAGCAAAGCGAGAGTGCCACAAACACGCAAGAGGTTACAGAAAGTGAGAGCAAAAGTAAAGAGGCGCGAGAGAGAAAGGGACGAAGGGAAGAACGGTGAATATATCTGGAGATGTCGATTGACATTGTATTTGAATTGTTGGCGATTATTGCTAGCAGGGAAACAAGTAAGCGGAAGGGAGATCCACAGACGGGAAGTGCGTGACATGAAGCTATTAGAATAGAGAGAGACGGCTACATTTAACTGTTTCGACAGTCAAAAGTTGATACTGAGTTGCCGAACGAGAGTCACGTTTAAATTCATTTCGGTTGGGAACCAGCGAAAATAGCTTTTTATGAGCAGTTTTCTGAAAGTTATAGAAAACACAGAGGGAGGCGAAAGCACGTCTGTGAGAGCCGACTGTAAACGAGATTTAGACAGGGCCAACCAAGAATTGCATATCCGTCTCTGGATTTTATCAAGGACCTTAAGACGAACAGCGGCGGTTCCAGAAATATATGAAAGTATTCGGGCGACAAAAAATTTTCTTTGCAGCAACACAGAGAACCAAATTCCCTTACGGTAGATGAAGCTGTTCAATATAATTGTTCCAAAACAGTTTGAGACCAAACAGGCGCACAGATTCTATATGCTCTTCAGTTAGCAATGAGGATGAAATAATAATGTTTACTGAATGTGTTATCTGTTTTCTATATTTCTGAGATGATGTATTATGTACACTATTTACACTATTCGGACCATTGTGTATCTTTGTCGCCATTTTATCAAGTTAATTAATTTGCACCTTTAAAAAACCTTTATTCTACAATCCCATTCAATATCATTTATCTGACACCAGAGTTTAAATAGAATTCAATTTATTTAAAATTGCCAATTTAAAAATGGAATTATTTGTGAACAATTTTAATTACAACTTTAAAATATTTTCATAAATTAGTTTTTATAATTCCATTTTAGAAGTTTTGTTAGCATATATTTTAAGTAATTTTTTTAAATGAATTAGCTATTTTTTGCCGTAAGGGGAAAAAATTTACTTAAATAATGTTTAAATAAAAATTTATATAAATATATTTATATAAAAAATAATTAACTTATAAAGGTTTATAATTTACTTCGTAATAATAAAATATTTAAAAAAATTTAAATCAATTAAAATTGAAATTAAATAATTCTAACATAAATTCTTTTAAATTGTAATTAAATAATAAAAGTATAAATAAGAGAAATGAATTAGCTATTTTTAGTAAGAGAAAAAAAAATACTTAAATAATATAGATTTATCTGTAACCTTGGAAACATCAATTTTGTTTTAGCTATGTATTTAAACCAGTAATTTTAAAGTTACTCCAAAATTCGTTTGAGGATGAAATGGAACTAATGTC